CGCGTTGTAAAAATTTGTTAGTTGCTTGAATGACAGCATTTTCCTTTAATAAGTTAACTGCATCTCGAAAAGACATATTTTTGATGGTATGCATTGAAATACCGAAACTACGGTAAGTTTTTATAACACCAATAAGATGTTTGTAACGCCAATTATTTTGAATGATAGTAGCAGCTTCCTCACGAGTATAATGAGAAGAACCATTAACTTGAATTTGTGATTTAGAAACAGAAAGAAGTCTCGCACGGCGAGCGGCAGTTGCTTTCTGGCGACGTTCTAGATCAGCGCGGCGTCGATCGATTTCTTCTTGATTCTTTAACTGTTGTTGGCGAGCGACTTCTTTACATCTAGCAACTTCTTGAGCACATTGCTCAACCAACCGTTGCAAAATAGTATTTCTATTTTTCTCAGCAACTTGTAAAGTCTGCTGAATTTGAGATCGCTTTGTAAAAGAGTCGTTAAGAGCACGCTCATGCTGTTTAATTAAAACTTCCTTAACATGTAAGATCTGGCGAGCTAATTTAAGACGTCTTTGCTCAAGTAAAGCTTCTCTTTTAATACGAGCATAGTCTGGGGCACACTGAGGTAATTTTTTATGCCCATGTCCGTGAACGTGAGTAGTTGATTTTTTAGATTTCATCCTTCTTTCAAGATGAAAAGGACGCTTACTAGCATGATGAAGCGGTAAAACATCTATAACGTAAAAACCCGAATTCGTTTTATGCATTTTGATCTTTAATTGATATAAATTTAAAATTTAATAATTTAAAATAAAATCACATTAGTTCTTACATGGCGAATAAATTCGCTTGTATCAAATTTATTCAAGCATTTAAGAAACAACTTACCTGACATAAAAAAAAAAAATTGAATTTTTTCTTTATAAATATATATTTAAATAAACTTTTTTGCTTTTATTCACTAGAAAACGTTAAGCTTAATAAAGAATTTGAATCAGAAACAAGGCACAAGTCTCCATGAAATAACCATTCGAATTCTTGAATTTAGTACTTACAAGTCTTCGAAATAAGAATAAATAGTAGTTTTACAAGCTTTTTATTGTACAACAAAAAATGAAGCTTTCATTCGAGCGGGAATACAAAAAATGGACAGGGC